CTTGGTGTATAAATGTTATACCATTATTGTGGAGTTATCCGTTTAAATATAAAGAAATATCTCGAGAAACGAAATATTCCAAATTTCTTGATAATTATTTGAGAAGTTTAAATCAAGAAGAAATTAATTGGTTGAATCAACAGGGAATTAACCTTTTTCATTTGACTCAAGACAAACAAATCATTGATTACGTAGCATTTTTAAAGGTGATAGAATTTGGTGAATTAAGCAACATTATAGAAAATTGGATTAAATATTTTATTTATATCGAATCAAAAGATATTTATTTAAAATATTATTCCAACTTTTTTAACGTATTATTGAGATTATTCATGAGAAGTTCGGATATTCAAACATTACACATTAATGAAATGAATGCTTTATCTAAATTGAATATGCATATCTTACTTCCTGACATTTCAATATTCACTTCATACAATCCTGGTATTAAATTAATCATGGAGCTTCACATTCACTTTGCAAAGGGCCAATTTTATAAAGATCTTCTTTCCATAGTTTCTACTTTATGCACTCAAATTCAAACTATATCAATATCACTTAATCGAACGAATTTACCTTTGAAATATTTTGTCAACAATTTTATAAGAAATCAAACAAGATTAAATTCTATCTCCCTAAATTGTGGTAATTGTGGTAGGGAATATAAGAATGATCGTGAATTAAAGTTCTTATTTAAATCGTTAAATTTTCATGTCAATTGGTTAAGAAGTACTGAATTAATTTCTTTTGGAATTAATATTTTAGATTTTTCATTAATCTTTTCAAAAGCAAATGATCATCATCATCTAGAATTAACATTGTTGAATTGTAAATTATACATCATCAAAAAACACGATCAAATCGATGATTTAAAAGATTTAAGATTACCCATAAAGAATTTAAACTTTCGAAATTATTTCTTTACAGACTAGACTATAATAAGAATCCCTCTGTTTATTTACCTTCATTTTTACAAATCATAGGAAAAAATTTAAAAAGGCTTTCTTTAAATGAATTGGATGAGAAACTTATGGATTCTATTTTAACTCATTGTACAAATATCAATTCCTTGGAGATATATGATTTACATCAACTAAATTACTTTTTTACCTTGATTAAAAATCTTGAACTTACCAAATTAAAGATATCAATGTATCGTGATGATGATGATTCAATATTCCTATTAAAGTTAATTGATTATTTACCTGTAACGTTAAATTCGCTAGTCTTGGAAAATTTACGAACTTTCAATAATTTGCAACACTTTCTTGAAATTTTTCACGCTCCTAATTTGAGTGAGATCATTTTACATCAAAAAACTTACGATTCCTTTTTCGAGTTATTGAATAATATTAAATTCATTGAATTTCAAAATGTTCATACGTTTGGTATTGAATATGATTTTAATGTTTGTAGTGACGATATCAATGATTTCAATCAATTGCAAAGATTATACAATAGAATAATTGGAAATTAAAATGCGGACCTAAGGGATTTTATATGATTTCCAATTCAACTCTGTAACGATATGATATTTATAGGTACTTTAAATGTATTATTTTTTTTTTATGATTAAGTTGTTGTACTAATTATATATATCAAACTCCGCACTCAGTGTTTTGAACATACAAGCAATAACCCATAGTATACTTAAAAAGTACTAATATGAAAATACTTGGATAATTTCAAATTAACTTTAGAGCAAGTATCATTTTTTTTAATAAAAAAGAAAATAATGGTATGAATGGATTGATTCCTTTTTTCATTTTTCTTTGAAAATCAAAATCGAAAATCGAATCGGGCAAAAAACGATTTTTCAAACGATTAATCGGAAACAAAACAATTTTTGATTTCAGTTATTAAAATCAAAAATTGGAAAAAATGGTTAATTTTTTTTAATTGTTTAAGTATAGAATCGTTATAAAATTTTATGTAATCAATTTAGAACATTATTTATTTTTTTTAATCTTTATTTATTAAAAAATAAAAGCTGAAGATGTTAATAAACCAAATTAATCAAAAATCTGTTTTACACGATGTGGCTATCACGTGATATGCTCGTTGTATTTTCCCTTATTTTTCGATTCTAGTTATTTCACTTTGTTAATTATTTAAAGCACTTGATATACTAAAATGGATTTTAGAATCCTAAGTTAACTATTTCATAAAAATTTCTAATAATTATTGTCCAAAGATATGTATTGTTATTACCTGTATTGTTTATTACATCAGAAAAGTATTTAAGGTAAAATATTCTGCATATAATAGACTTCCATATATTTATGAAGTATTATACTATAAATCTTTGTAACATTCATTCAAGTTTATAGCTCTATAATATTATGAAGTATTACATTTAAAATTCTTCATAAATATTATATCTCAGTAAATCTTTGATGTATTTCAACTATAGTATTTACAACTTAGTAAAAATTTAAAGTGATTAATTATATAGTACTTTACATTCAAGTATTAATAAAGTACTTTGTATACTCACAGCTTAATTTTTTATTAATTAATTTTTTGCAATAAAATAAATATTAAAAATTGATATTTAAAAACCTTTATGACTTTCAAAGTGATTTGCAAAGCATATCAAATAATGTGAATTTGAAGTTTAAAGCCTTTTAATACTTGTTATACTAATAAATTTCAAATAAATTCTTTTTAAAAAGATATAAAATTCTATATCAAGTTAATAACAGATAAATGTATATATTGTTAATTTCATCAATACATATGCAACTTTGAAAGTTGTTCAGTGATATTTTCTAAATAATATATACTGTATATTTCAGTACAATATTTAATGAAGAAGATAGTAGTGAATTGCATATTTGAAAATCTTGATAATAATAAAGAAATCGGGTCACAACGCATTTATATTCACGGCTCCTAAATTGTTCCTATTGTAGTAACGTTTCAAAGTACTGAAAGTTAACATTAGTGATTCATCAGTTTCGGCTCAGAAATAAGTTACAAGTTTAATTAAGAGACAAATATAAGTGTCGAAAAAATATATTATCAGTAATTTCAATATTAGCGAAATTAGGAGTTATAATGAAGTAAAATTTCATTTATTGTTAATCATCCGTTGTATCATTGCACTTTCAATCATTATTGGCGAGATATTTTTATAAACGGGTTGACAAATTATTCTTACGGTAAATATATCGTCATTTAAAGTATATATGACGTTTGCTACTTCATGCCTGCTTTTTGGTATACGGCTCCACAATATAAGAAATTAGATTATTTTAAATAAAATGAATGAGATGATGATTCTTTATCACTTGGATTTGAATTTTCTAAATTAACTTGCATCATAGTAAAATTTAAAATGAAAATTTTCTTTTGTCAGCTAAAACGATTCATGACTTGTCTTTAAAAAGAAATTATATTTATAGATTATCCATATACTCCACTCGGTAGTCCATTATGAGATTCTATAGTTCATCTTTATTCAAGAAAGTTCACTAATTATGTAAACTTTTTGCTATGATAGACAAAAGTAACCTATTTCGCATGGTTTTTTTTATACGATTATTAATGATCTACATTTAAAGCTTTATCGTTTATCATTCTCATAGCATAAATATGGAAGTTAATTGGAAGACAAAATTGAACAATTTTTTTTTCTTTCATTCATTTTAACATCGGTGGGGCAGTTGACAATCTACGACGTAAATTTTTCATAATTCTTGGTAACATCGATCTCATTACAACTCGTTTGAAGTTGTCTTAATTCGATACGATATGAATTAAATTCTTAAGACATACGATGGAGTTAATTGCCACTATAAGTTAGAACAAGGTTTTTTTTTTTAGCAAAAATAATAAAATTTGAACTGATATCATTGTAATTTATCCTTTGAGATCTTAGGAAGGATGTCCAATTTATTGAAACGAAATGTTTGAATTCAAAGTGGCAGCTGAAATAAGTTATTTGCGGCGCTTAACTATATTGCACGACGATATTCTTAAAAACAAGAATAAATGAAATGAGGTTTTATATTATTAATATGCCCAATTTTTTAATTTTACAAGAGTATTACTCACAATAGAGACTTTAATGTTTGGATTTACACGATATATCGTAATATCCCTGCCCGTCGATTCTTGTAAACATGAGTGGGACGCACGTTGCCTACTGTAGAGTTTCTCCTTTTAATGGACGAAATCTACTCGTTTCCGTAGTATTGCATTCTTTTGCAATTCCTCTTTTCAGATATATAGACAGCCGCCGTTGGATTCAAATGGATTCACTTGAAATTGTTAATATACAGTGGCAAAAACTTTAATAATGCGTAGCATCTATTGCACCTTTCTAGTATAGATCGGCTACACAAAAAGTATTTTAAAAAGTATAAAAAATGATTTAATAAATTATGTAACATAATTTCCTTATATGACGGTCACCTCCTGGATTTAATAGCTGATCACCCATTTTCAGCTTTTCAAAGAAGAAAAGTATTTATGCATGAGGAAACAATTATTAACGAATTTTCAAACTGAAATTAATAAATAATGACCATTTAGAACGGTTGTGGGAAAACCCTTCCTACCACAAAACTTTTTACAGTTTTTTTTAATAAATTAATGTAAAAATGGTTTTTAAATTCAACCAAAATAAAACCTTGAAAGACTTGGAAAATAGAATTAAGGAATTTGAAGAAAGTAAAAAGAATTACAAAGAAGAAAATCAATTGTTATATACCTTTTTGTTTGTCGAATTAGGTAGTAGTGATTTAGATAATTTAAGAGAATTATTAGCAGGAAAGAAACTTACTGAGATAATAGATGAATCAGAAAATCGGAGGCGAGAAATTCAAAATTTAACATCAAAAAAAGGGGAGTCTTCAAATTTAAGTTTCCAATTCAAATATTTGGAAGAAAAGATTAACGAACATGAAAAAGAAGCTAAAGCCAAACAAGAAACGATCAATGATTTAGAAGAATTGGTCAGAGAACAAGGAATAGCCGCTGAAGTCAAGAAAATAACTATCAATGCATTAGAAGAAAAGATTAGGGAGCTAGAAGAACTAACCGAAGCTAAGGTCAAAACTATTTATGCTCTAGAAGAAAAGATTAAAGAGCGAGAAGAAGAAGCCAAAACTAAACAATTGACAATAAATTATTTAGAAGAAAAGATTAACGAGCGCGAAGTAGAAACCAAAATCAAGCAAGATATTATTAGCAATTAAAGAAAAGATCGGAGAACAAGAAGAAGAGATTATAGCAAAGCAAAGCTAATAAATTCATACTTTTGGGTTAGAGTTTTAACGTGAGTGGATCAGAAATTTTAAAATATGTGGTATATTATATTATATTGTTTACCATCGAAACTGAAATAAATATTTGAACATTGTTATAATTAAGAATTATATTTAAATAAACACTTTACAATTTATACTTTATTATTTAATCTATTTTTTGAAAATATTTTTTATTAACAAAACAATTATTTTAAAACCGTGATACAGGACGTCAGATAATAGCTTGTTTTATTGATTGTTTATTATTCGTATGTTAAAAGCTTATTGAGAAGAAACGAATGAAAATAAACATAAAAAATTTAATCAAGCTTACAACTAATGAAATTTATTTTCGTCTGAAGTTGAATCATGGTAAGATTAATCTTGACCGATTAATAGAACCGGTACTCGGTCATAATTGTGAGTCTGTCCGGTCCAAAATATTGAATACTATGTGCGTGCAGCTATAGAATAAATGTTTTAT